AGGAGAATTGCTTGAACCTTAGAGGCAGAGGTTGTGGTGAGCCGAGATCACACCATTGCACTCCAGTCTGGGCAACAAAAGTGACACTCTGTCTCAAAAAAAAAAAAAAGCGGGGGGGCATCATCCTATATAACTATAATACAGTCATCAAAATCTGAAAATTAACTTTGATTATTACCCTCTAGTCCTTGGATCCCTTGCAAGTTTTACTAGTTATTTGATTAATGTCCTTTGTAGAAAAAGGATCGAATTCAGGATTACAGATTGCATTTATTTAATATGAATCCTTAGTCACCTTCCATCTGGAATACTTACTTGATTTTTCCTTGACATTCATGACTTTGACATTCTTTCTTTGATGTTCATGACTTTTGAAGATGACCGGCCGATTATTTTATAGAATGTTCATTGTTGCTTGTCTGCTGTTATTTCATGTTATACCTATTTGCATTATGCATGTTATGCACATTTTTCATACTCAGGCTACATGTCTTTTGATAGGAATATCTCAGAAGTAACACTATCTTCTCGTTATTGACTCTTATCAGGTGGCATACAATTTAGATTTTTCCCAATAGAGATACCAGCTAGGCTTGTAAAGCCACTTGTTTTCCTTTGTAATTAAAAAGTTATTTGTGGGGAGGGCAATTTGGGACCATGGAAGTTATCCTGTTCTTCATCAGATTTGCAGTTTATTCATTCATTTAAATCACTATGGACTCATTATTCTCTAATTTATTTATTGGATTATAATTGCTATCGTTATTTACATGTTCAAACTGGCCCTGATTTATCTAATGGTAGTGCCTGCAGACTGGCTTTTTACATGCTCCCATCATTCTTTAAACTGTCTTTTTTTTCTGGCTTAAGATGTTCCAGGCTCAGTTCATACTTTCCCTGTCCCAAGCCTCAAATCAGCCGTTTCTCCAGGGAGCCCTGCTTTCTTTTAGTAGAGTATGGTATTTAGAAACCAAGATCCAGATACTACATTACTTATCACTATTGAGTTCTCATTGCTCCCAGGCCCTCTCAGAGTAGACAGGATAGCACAAGGGTCCCCAGTCCCCAGGCTGCCAACCGGTACCAGTCTGACCTGTTAGGAACGAGGCTGTGCCAGCAGGTGAGGTCAGGCAAGTGAACATTACCACTTGAGCTGCTTCTCCGATCAGTGGTGACATTAGATTCTGATAGGTACATGAACCCTATTATGAACTGCATATGCAAGGCATGTATTTGTGTGCTCCTTATGAGAATCTGATACCTGATGATCTGAGGTAGAACAGTTTCATCCTGAAACCATCCCCTACAACTTATGTTAGTGGAAAATTTGTGTTCCATGAAACCAGTCCCTGGTGCCAAAATGGTTGGGGACTGTTGAGCTAGGAGATACACATACACATGTATATACACCCCACTATACAACTGTATTTCTGTATCTTTATCTATGTGTATTGAAAACTGTGAGTTTGTACTGATACTTCCAATTTTAGTCCAACACAATACGTTTCATTTCATTCTAGTTTCCTTCTTTTCCATGTTCGTAGCTTTCTTCACTGACTAAGAAAAATCTAACTCCTATTATCTTTAATGTATTTACTTACTTGATAGCTCCCCTATGTGACTGGTTTCCCATTGCTACTGCAGCTCTTTTTCTCATGTGGATGTTGTCTTTATTCCATGTAGGCTCAGACAGCCTGCACTAGATCACCCTCTTAACAAAGACACGGATGGTTGTTTTCTGGGGAGAGAAACTGGGTAGCTGGGTGATAGGAATGGACAGGGATTTTTCAGTTTTGTAACTTTTTTGTACCCTGTTCATTTATTACTTTGTCAAAAACCAAAAACTAAAAATATGTTGCTCCTAGTTATAAATATTTAACTTTTTTCATTGACTATTGTGGTGATGGTAATTTTCATCAAAATCAGCTGTTTTTCTCATTCATAGTAGTCCTGAGTTTCTCTATATGGTACCATCAAATAATGAGAGGAAAATAAGTTTTGAGCCTCAAAAGATGTTGCTAGGTTGGCCGGGCGCGGTGGCTCAAGCCTGTAATCCCAGCACTTTGGGAGGCCGAAGCGGGTGGATCACGAGGTCAAGAGATCGAGACCATCCCGGTCAACATGGTGAAACCCCGTCTCTGATAAAAAATACAAAAAATTAGCTGGGCATGGTGGCGCGTGCCTATAATCCCAGCTACTCAGGAGGCTGAGGCAGGAGAATTGCCTGAACTCGGGAGGCGGAGGTTGCGGTTAGCCGAGATCGCGCCACTGCACTCCAGCCTGGGTAACGAGCAAAACTCCGTCTCAAAAAATAAAAAAAGATGTCGCTAGGTTGTGTGGTATCCAGACAGTACCATTTAGGAGACCATATCTTCACATTTGTTTCTTAAAAATAAAGAGCCATCCCACTACTCTAGCCTAACTTAAAAGAAGACACCTGCATCTCTGACTTTTAAAAAGTTTGTATTTCTTGTTTTTATGGATATTTCTTGTCATTATGGATGGCCAGAGAAAAGAGCAGGAAGCAGTTAGTGAGAACTATATATGTAGGTTTACTAAACTATGTTGTATTTCAGATTGAAATAAAAATTAAGCTAAAGTTTCATCATACAAAAAAAAGCTAGAAATTCTACACAACTCAATTGATTATTTATTGAACACCACCAGTAATTTATGTACTAGAAATTTTAAGGTGAAGTCCTTCAGAGAGACTTGTACATTTTTGTAAGGGTGTGTTTGGGTAGAAGGTAATAAAAGACAAAATATATTAGAGGGTTGTCACAATTATAAGGTAAACAGAGGAGAGCAAAATTCACAGAGCACCTAGACCTTGTTGGTTTGGAGGTTTGCTCTGGTTTGGATGTGCTATGTACCCACTGAAATTCTGTTGCAGTTTGATCTCCAATATAGCAGTATTTTGTTGCAGTTTGATTTCAAATGCTTGGGTCATAGTAGTGGATCTCTCATAAATAGATTAATACCCTCCCACCAGGATGAGTGAATTCTTGTTCTCATGGGAATGGATTAGTTCTCAAGAGAGTATATTGTTGAGCAGAGTCTGGCTTCCTTGGTTTCTCCCCTTTGCTTCTTCCATGTGATTTCTTTTCACATGTCTGCTCGTTTTCTACCTACCGCCATGAATTGAAGCTGCTTGAAACCCTCAACAAGTGTAGCTGTTCAGTCTTGAACTTTCCAGCCACCAGAATCATGAGCCAAATAAACCTTTTTTCTTTTTCTTTTTTTTTTTTTTTTGAGACGGAGTTTCGCTCTTGTTACCCAGGCTGGAGTGCAATGGCGCGATCTCGGCTCACCGCAACCTCCACCTCCTGGGTTCAGGCAATTCTCCTGCCTCAGCCTCCTCAGTAGCTGGGATTACAGGCATGAGCAATCATGCCCAGCTAATTTTTTGTATTTTTAGTAGAGACAGGGTTTCACCATGTTGACCAGGATGGTCTTGATCTCTTGACCTCGTGATCCACCCACCTGAGCCTCCCAAAGTGCTGGGATTACAGGCTTGAGCCACTGCGCCCAGCAACCTTTTTCTTTATAAATTACCCAGCCTCTAGTATCTTGTTACGGCAACACTTAACTGATTAAAGCAGAGTGCTAGATAATTTAGCTGAAAATTTGGGGTAAAACAATTTAATAAAAAGGAAACTGATTCTAAGAATTTGGTAAAAAGAATAATTTACTCAAAACCACAGAAGTTTTAAATAGTCAATTCATTTTCATACAACTGTTTCTGTTTTCACAGATTTGAAGTAGAAAATATTTACAGTATCCTAAATGATAAACAATGGAGGGTTGAAATGTTAGAATTACTTGTCTTTTTATTATATGCATTAAAAATGAAAACTAACCTTAACTAAAGAGAATAGGCATACTGACTTAAAAGGAATAGGAAAAAATGATATAATCAGAATAAAAAGTCTAGATCCTTTTCTTGTATCCTTTACTTTAAAAAAAACAAACTATAGTTATTACAAATGAGATACACTTATAGGAATCCACCGCCCCCAAAATGAAAACATTCATCCATACAAAGTCAAAATTGTAAATGTTCATGGGAGCATTATCCACAGTAGCCACAAACTAGAAATAATCCACATGTCTGTCCACCAATGAGTGTATAAACAAAATGTGGTGTACTCATACAATGGAATGCTATTCATTAGTAAGTGGAAATGAACTACTGATGCATGCTTCATCATGGATGAATCTCAAAAACACAGGAGACCACATATTAATTCCATTTATATTAATGGCTAGAAAGGCAAATTTATAGAGGCAGGAAACAGATAGTTGTCTAAATTTAGGAGTGAAAACAGGAATTAACTGCAGATAACTATCAGATAACTTTATGGGTGATGAAAACATTGTGAACTGGTTCATAGTGATGATTGCCCAACTCTATAAATGTATTAAGAACATTGAATTGTACACTTATGATGGGGTAGATTTCATGTAATTTAAATTATGACTTATTGCAATAAAACTGCTTAGCAAAAGAAATGCAGAAAATAGAAAATACTCAAAAGCAAAAGAAAAAAAATGAATTTTAAATGGATCCCTCTCAGTCAGTCACCATAATCTAGCCTCATATAATTCCAAATATTTTCAATGCACATATGATCTCATTTTTCTTCAAAAATAGCATCATATGGCATCAACTTGAATATTCTCAAGTAAGGAAAGCGCCTCCCAGACAGAAAAAAACAGAATGAAGAAAAACATAAAGACCAAGGCAAATATCATGGAAATCTAAGGTGAAAATTTAGTGGAATGGGAACATAAATTAATCCTTGATTGCAAGTACAGATTGATTTCTTTGATATTTCAGTAGCAAAATTCCAATTAAGGATTAAACATTTGGTGTAATTTTTGACTTCATTTTTTCTTTTAAGCAGTATTTTTCTTAAATTCTAATTACCCTATTTTTCAAGTTCAAAAATCTATAACCCTATAATGAGTAAGAATTTCTTTTTTGACTTTCCATAAAGGCCTACAGCTGTGAATTCTTTGATTTCAAAATATGGATTTCAGGAGCAACTTCTTTACTGTGAGTTTGGTTTAAATTATCTTCAGTTGATTTGCTGCCGAATAGATTATTAATGTAAAACGATTTTTTCCTCTTTTATTCTTAATGTAACTAAAATATTTCCTAGTTTGAAAAAGTTTCTTTGTATCAAGTTTTATATATGTACCTATCTGTTATACTCACCAAACATTTAATATTGGTTAGCCCTAGAAGAGTAGAATGAATAAAAAAGTAAGCACATATAATGAAAACATATGCTTATGATTTTGCTACATTGTCTAATATGAAAGTAAATCGTGTTTTACTAACAATTTTTACAGAGTTGATAGCAATAAAAGTATATTTTTAGCATTCCAACAACATAATATTATCTCCAAAATAATCTTTGTTCATTATCTATGTTGTTTGTTAAGCTCTTGGGAGGTTTTGGGAGTTTTCTTAATGCTTTGTTGAAATAATTTTTAAAAGCAATGATTTTATCTTTCAGTTCAGATTATCTGTGCAAATGTAAGATGAAAAATGAAAAATGGAAAAGAAATGTCAAGTATTGAACCAAAAATTAATTTTCACTGTATTTTCAGAATATGAACTTTAAAATTTTTGTTTGACAGATTTAAAATTAAGCTGTCTTTTTGGAATCTATGTAATTAGTGGTTTGGTGTAGTTTCATTATAATGTAAAGTTCTTCAAGTAATAATTGGTATCTTCACAACTTTGGTCAGAATTTAAAATGGATTTGTATTGTACAGTCATATTAAATTGAGAATCATGTGTTATAGTCTATTGATAAGTCTGAATTTTTTTGATGTATTCTAGTTTACTCAGCATTGCAGTTTTAAAATTCATGCACGAACCAATTTATATTTCTGTTACAGACTAATTTTTATTAGCCTTTCTTTGTGCCAATCATCTTTTGAATGTGCTTGCTGATTCACTTAGAAATAGCTCCCTTCTCTCTTTTTCCTTTTTTAGAGGATTTTAATTTCTGAAACAACAAAATGTGTAGTTAAATGTTACGGTTTAAATAGAAATATAAATTTGTTATTAATGGCAGCATTATCCACTTGATGGTGGTGGTGGTGGTGGTAGTGATATTTAGTTAATATTTATTGAGCTTTTATTATGTGGCAGATACCATTCCAAGCACTTTACTTGAATACAGCAATTCTATGAGATGATATTGGTACTGTCCCCATTTCACAGATACGAAAGTAGAGAAATAAGGAAAATGACTTGTCTAGTGTTTCATAGCTAGTAGGTGGCAGAGTTGAGGTTTAGATTTAGTCAGTCCGGCTCCATATTTGGTCCTCTTAACCAGTGCATTCTGCTTCTCTTATAAGTAGGGTTGAAATGTCTTACTTCAGTGTAAACAGTGGAAATGTAATAACTTTAAAATGCTCACACTTTTATTTCACACTGATTCTAATATGGTCTAGGTGTCTTGATTTTTTTTTTTTAATATTAAAACACTGAACTTGTTTAACACTAATAATTACATATTACCTGTTCTTCAAGTGTTTTATCATCTATTTTTAATAAATTATTAGATAGATAATGGCATACTATGTTTTCCCCAAAATTACTCAAACTAAAAAATTAAGTGTTAATATTAACTAGTTTGAGTTAGAAGTTCAATACCTTTAGCAAGTTGCCAAAAATGTAAAATTTCCCTGAATTTGTGGTCTGAATATTCTCATAAATGGCAGGAAATTTTTGTCTAAAATATATTGCCTTCATTTATGCTATTTCAGATTGGTTTTTTTAAGGGTGAGAATAAGTAAATTATGAAATAATAAAGTATTTTACTTTTTAAGATTTATACCCTGCTCTGATTTGTTTGTATTCCTGTGGGTTTGTTTTAAGCTGTGCTTGAGGAACTTGTTAATAGCGGACGCTTACGAGGCACTGTGGTTGGTGGGAGACAGGATAAAGCTGTGTTTATCCCTGACATCTACTCCAGGACACAGAGTACTTGGGTGGATTCCTTTTTAAGGCAGAATGGCTATCTAGGTAACTTTCTTATTTCCTTAAAACTAAAATTTCATCTTAACACTAAACTCACTCTTCAAAAGTATTATACTAATCCTAGGGTCCTCCTTTGATCTGCAGGTTATATTAAAAAATAATAATAAATAAATTAAAATTTAAAAAGGGAACCCTAGAGGCTACATATACTGTCCTGTATGATCAGAAGATTATAATGGTTCCCTTTGAGTGTAAAAGTAATCACACTGCAAGTTTCTGTGGGTCTTGGAACTGAGTTTAGTTCTATGGTTACTGAACAATTATAATTTAAAAAGGCTAAAAGCTGTTACTAATTGCTGCCACTCTTCCAGTTACATTTATTGAGATGGCACTATAAACTTAAAGTATCTTTTAATTCATAAAAGTAATTATTATATCTTACGTTTTGTGAAGTTGCCCAGTTTTTCAGATATATCGTCTTAGAAATATTTTGTTGGCTGTCAGATTTACAATGTGTGTTTTTATTAGTTACCTAAAACTTTGGAAACATTGAAATTATTCTAAATTCTGTGTCTGAAGTTCTGTCATTTGGATAAATTGGACTAAATTTAGTTATTAAAACAATTAGCATGTTTATATATAATATATATAGGTATATATTTAAATATCACTTCTTCATTTGATCGATTTTATAATCCAAGTCAAACTGCATAACAGAGTACTTCCTCAGTGATAAACCTGTAAGTTTTTAGTATATAAACAATTTAAACGGATGGTAGAATACTGGGTTTTGCTTATGTTTTCTTGATTTCCTATGCTGGACTTTTTAGTTTCTTCAATTATAATCATGGATTATAACTTTATTATAACTAGTTTTCTTAAGCATGATTATTTGGGGTGGAGTTAGAGGAGTTAAGAAGATAGATATCTCTAATAATTTTTATTGACTTTAAGTTTTTATTTTTCACTTTTGTCTTATATGTAATTGACAATCCTAATCCAACTTTGTTATGTATTTCTAGAATTTGATGCTTTGTCCAGACTTGGAATCCCAGATGCTGTAAGCTACATAAAGAAAAGATACAAAACTACACAACTCTTGTTTTTGAAAGCAGCTTGTGTCGGTCAAGGACTTGTGGATCAAGTGGAAGCATCAGTAGAAGAAGCCATCAGCTCTGGAACATGGGTTGATATTGCAGTATGTTTTATCTTTTTCTCACTTTTCTTTAAACCAATGACAACTGATATTTTACTAATATTTGACCATTTAGAAATTAGGATAAATAAAGGTGGTCTTGGCTTTGGAGGCAAATTCTAATTATTGTTATAACAAAAATAATCTTTATGCTTAAAGTTTTTCGGGTGACCTTCTACATGTGGACATTCAACATTGAGAACTCTGTAAATCTCAAAACAAGCAAGCAGTGTAACACTCCTGTTAATCCTGATATTGAATTGATCAGACTTCTCACATCTTATCCAAGCATTTACAGCTGTACTGGCATGAGGCACCGTGTAGCATTTGTTTATTCCTTATCTATTAATCTCTGTTAATGTATTAACACAAGCTGCTTTGGCACTGATAGTGTTTACTTCAGTGTTCAATGTTGACCTGCCCTTCAGCATGCCAAAAAGATAAGTGTAGGTAAAGAAAAATAAACAAGAGGCCAATCCATTATTTCTAGTCGAGCCCAGACCTTCTTTATAAAGCAGAAAATTCTCTGTTTTGGATATGCAAGTACCAAAGATTCCAGATTTAAGTGGTTTTTTATTCATCTAACAAAACCACCTTATGTGTGCCAGGCACCATTCTATTAATACTTGTTGGGGATATGGTAGCCGGAGAAGTTTGCTGTTCTTAGGAGGGACACTTTCATTAAGCAAAGATAGTTAATGAAAACAGTAAGATAATTTCAGATAGGAGAAAGAGTTATGACAACATACAATTTGAAGGGTATCAGGACATCCTGTTGGATTGTTTGTGGCTTTGTGAGAAGAGGAACTATATGCCTTGTAGGTCTGAGTATTGTTTTGAACAGTTGGAGATGCCTGTTAGGCATCCAAGTGGGGAAGGTAGGCAATAGGATATATGATTTCAGAACTCAGAGTAGTGATGAAACCAGAAATATAATTTGTGAGGTTATTGGCATACATACAGTTCCAAAAGCAACTGGACTTGGTGAGATCACCTAGAGAGAGCATATATGTATACAGCAAATGGTTTCCCTGTATTATAGTGCATTTATACTTTATTTTTATTTTGTTTGTAATTTTAGCCTCTGCTACCCACTTCTTTATCAGTTGAAGATGCTGCCATATTACTTCAGCAGGTGATGAGGACATTCAGCAAACAGGCCTCAGCTGTAGTCTTTAGTGACACTGTTGTAGTCAGTGAAAAATTTATAAATGACTGTACAGAACTGTTCAATGAGATGATGCACCAGAAGGCTGAAAAGGTATGCCAGATTTCCTTTTATCTGCTAATCTTTTTTTTTATTGTACTTTAGGTTCTGGGGTACATGTGCAGATCAGACAGGATTGTTGCATGGGTACATACATACATACATGGCAAGGTAGATTGCTGTTTCCATTCCCCCTTAACCTATATCTGGCATTTCTCCCCATGTTATTCCTCCCCACCCCCTGCTGTCCCTCCCCTAGTCTACCTCCCAGCAGACCCCAGTGTATGATGCTTCCCTCCCTGTGTCCATGTGTTCTCATTGTTCAACACCTGCCTATGAGTGAGAAGATGGAGGTGTTTGATTTTTGGTTCTGGTGTCAGTTTGCTGAGAATGATTTCCAGATTCATCTGTGTTCCTACAAAGGACATGAACTTATTGTTTTTATGGCTGCGTAGTATTTCATGGTATGTATGTGCCACATTTTCTTTGTCCAGTCTATCATTGATGGGCATTTGGGTTTGTTCCAGGTCTTTGCTATTGTAAACAGTGCCATAGTGAACATACGTGTGCATGTGTCTTTATAATAGAAAGATTTATAATCCTCTGGGTATATAACCAGTAATGTGATTGCTGGGTCAAATGGAATTTCTATTTCTGATCCTTGAGGAATCAGCACACTGTCTTCCACAATGGTTGACCTATTGGTTACACCCCGACCAGCAGTGTAAAAGTGTGCCTATTTCTCCACATCCTCTCCAGCATCTGTTGTCTCCAGATTTTTTAATGATCACCATTTTAACTGGCGTGAGATGGTATCTCAATGTAGTTTTGATTTGCATTTCTCTAATGACTAGTGATGATGAGCATTTTTTCATATGTTTGTTGGCCTCATATATGTCTTCTTTTGTAAAGTGTCTGTTCATATCCTTCACCCACGTTTGAGTGGGTTTGTTTGGTATTTTCTTCAAAATCTGTTTTAGTTCTTTGTAGATTCTGGATATTAGCCCTTTGTAAGATGGGTAGATTGTGAATATTTTTTCCCATTCTGTTGGTTGCCAGTTCACTCTAATGATTGTTTCTTTTGCTGTACAGAAGCTCTGTAGTTTAATTAAATCTGATTTGTCTATTTTGGCTTTTGTTGTCATTGCTTTTGATGTTTTAGTCATGAAGTCCTTGCCTATGTCTATATCCTGAATGGTTTTGCCTCAGTTTTCTTCTAGGTTTTTATGGCATTAGGTCTTATGTTTAAATATTTAATCCATCTGGAGTTTATTTTAGAATAAGGTGTCAGGAAGGGATGCAGTTTTTGCTTTCTGCACATGGCTAGTGAGTTTTCCCAACACCATTTATTAAACAGGGAATCCTTTCCTCATTGCTGGTTGTCAGGTTTGTTGAAGATCAGATGGTTATAGATATGTGGTGTTGCTTCCAAGGCCTCTGTTCTATTCCATTGGTCTATGTCTCTGTTTTGGTACCAGTACCATGCTGTTTTGATTATTGTAGACTTGTAGTATAGTTTGAAGTCAGGCAACATGATGCCTCCAGCTTTGTTCTTTTTGCTTAGTATTGTCTTGGCTAGGCTATGCGGGCTCTCTTTTGGTTCCATAGGAATTTTAAAGTAGTTTTTTCCAGTTCAGTAAAGAGGGTCATAGGTAGCTTGATAGGGATAGCATTGAATCTGTAAGTTACTTTGGGCAGTATGGCCATTTTCACAATATTAATTCTTCCTAACCATGAGCATGGAATGCTTTTCCATCTGTTTGTGTCCTCTCTTATTTCCTTAAGCAGTAATTTGTAGTTCTCCTTGAGGAGGTCTTTTACATCCTTTGTTACTTGTATTCCTAGTTATTTTATTCTCTTTGTAGCAATTGTGAATGGGAGTTCACTCTTGATTTGCCTCTGTTTGTCTGTTACTGGTGTATAGGAATGTTGTGTGATTTCTGCACATTGATTTTGTATCCCGAGACTTTGCTGAAGTTGCTTATCAATTTAAGGAGATTTTGGGCTGAGACTATCGGGTCTCAAAAGAGACAATTTGACTTTCTCCTTTCCTAATTGAATACCCTTTATTTCTTTTTTTTTTTGCTTGATTGCTCTGGCTATAACTTCCAATACTATATTGAATAGGAGTGATGAGAGAGGGCATCCTTGTCTAGTGCCTGATTTCAAAGGGAATGCTTCAAGTGTTAGCACATCAATGTGATATTGGCTGTGGATTTGTCCTAAGTAGCTTTTATTATTTTGAGATACATTCCATTGATATCTAGTTTATTGAGGGTTTTTGGCATAGCAGGCTGTTGAATTTTGTCAAAGGCCTTGTCTGCATCTATTGAGATAACATGTGGTTTTTGTCTTTGGTTCTGTTTATGTGTTGGATTATGTTTATAGACTTGTGTATGTTGAACCAGCCTTACATTCCCGGGATGAAGCCTACTTGATCTTGATGAATAAGCTTTTTGATATGCTGTTGCATTCGATTTGCCAGTATTATATTGAAGATTTTTGTTATCGATGTTCATCATGGATATTGCCCTGAAGTTTTCTTTTTGTATTGAGTCTCTACCAGGTTTTGGTATCAGGATGATGTTGGTCTCAAAAAAAGGAGTTAAAGAGGATTCCCTCTTTTTGTATTGTTTGGAATAGTTTCAGAAGGAATGGTACCAGCTCTTCTTTGCACATTTGGTAGAATTGGGCAGTGAACCCATCTGGACTTGGACTTTTTTTGTTTGGTAGGCTATTAATTACTACCTCAGCTTCAGCCCTGGTTATTGGTCTATTCAGGGTTTCAACTACTTCCTGCCTTAGGCTTGAGAGGGTGTAAGTGTCCAGGAATTTATCCTTTTATTCCAGATTTACTGGTTTATGTTCATAGAGTTGTTTGTAGCAATCTCTGATGGTAGTTTGTATTTCTGTGGAATCAGAGGTGATGTCCCTTTATCATTTTTTATTGTATCTATTTGATTCCTCCTCTCTTTTCTTTTTTATTAATCTGGCTAGTGGTCTATTTTGTTGATCTTTTTAAAAAACCAGCTCCTAGATTTAATTCAGTTTTGGATGGTTTTTTGTATATCTCTCTCCTTCAGTTCTGCTCTGATCTTAGCTATTTCTTGTCTTCTGCTAGCTTTTGAGTTTTTTGATCTTGCTCCTGTAGCTCTTTCAATTTTGGTTATAGGGTGTCAATTTTAGATCTTTCCTCACTTCTCATGCAGGCATTTATTGCTATAAGTTTCCATCTAGCCACTGCTCTAATTGTGTCCCAGAGATTCTGGTATGTTGTGTCTTCATTGGTTTTGAAGAACATCTTTATTTCATGTCTCATTGGTTTTGAAGAACATCTTTCTTTATACCTTCATTTCGTTGTTTATCCAGTTGACATTCAGGAGCCAGTTGTTCAGTTTCCATGAAGTGGTGCAGTTTTGAGTGAGTTTCTTAATTCTGAGTTCTAATTTGATTGCACTGTGGTCTGAAAGAATGTTTGTTATTATTTCTGTTCTTTTGAATTTGCTGAGGAATGATTTACTTCGAATTATGTGGTCAGTTTTAGAGTAAGTGCGATGTGGTGCCAGGAAGAATATATATTCTGTGGATTTGGGGTGGAGAGTTCTGTAAATGTATATGAGATTTGCATGGTCCCAGTTTGCTTTCAAGTCCTGAATATCCTTGTTGATTTTCTTTCTCGTTGATCTGTCTAATATTGACAGTGGAGTGTTAAAGTTTCCCACATTATTGTGTGGGAGTCTGAGTCTCTTTGTAGGTAATTAAGAACTTGCTTTATGTATCTGGATGCTCCTGCATTGGGTGCATATATGTTTAGGACAGTTAGCTCTTCTTGTTATATTGATCCTTTTACCATTACGTAATGCCCTTTGTCTCTTTTTGATCTTTGTTGCTTTAAAGACCATTTTATCAGAGACTAGGATTGCAACCCCTACTTTTTTTTGCCCTCCATTTGCTTGGTAAATCTTCCATCCCTTTATTTTGAGTCTTTGTGTGCCTTTGCACATAGATGGGTCTTCTGAATACAGCACACCAATGATTCTTGACTTTTTATCCAGTTTGCCAGTCTGTCTTTTGATTGGGCATTTAGTACGTTTACATTTAATGTTAATATTGTTATGTGTGAATTTGATCTTGCCATTTTGTTACTGGTTGGTTGTTTTGCCCATTGGTTGGCACAGTTTCTTGATTGCATCATTGTTCTTTACCATTTGGTTCTTTGTTGCAGTGGCTGGTACTGGTTGTTGCTTTCTGTGTTTAGTGCTTCCTTCAGGAGCTCTTGTAAGGCAGCTGTGGTGGCAAGGAAATCTCTCAGCAATTGCTGGTCCATAAAGGATTTTATTTCTCCTTCACTTATGAAGCTTATTTTGGCTGGATGAAATTCTGGGTTGAAAGTTTTTTTCTTTAAGGATGTTGAATATTGGCCCTAACTCTCTTCTGGCTTTTAGGGTTTCTGCCAAGAGATCCGCTGTGAGTCTGATTGGCTTCCCATGGTGGGTGACCTGTTCTTTCTCTTTGGCTGCCTTAGCATTTTTTCCCTCGTTTCAACCCTGGTGAATGTGATGATTATGTGCCTTCGGGTTGCTCTTCTTGAGGAGTATCTTTGTGGTGTTCTCTGTGTTTCTTTTATTTGAATGTTGGCCTGCCTTGCTAGGTTGGGTCAGTTCTCCTGGATAATATCCTGAAGAGTGTTTTCCAACTTGGATTCATTCTCCTCATCAACTTCAGGTACACCAGTCAAGTGTAGATTAGGTCTTTTCACATAGTCCCATATTTCTTAGAGGCTTTGTTCATTTCTTTTCCCTGCTTTTTTTCCTTTTCTTGCCTTCTCATTTTATTTCATTGAGTTGATCTTCAGTCTCTGATATCCTTTCTTCTGCTTGATTGATTCATGTATTGAAACTTCTGTATGCTCTGTGAAGTTCTTTTGCTCTGCTTTTCAGCTCCATCAAGTTGTTTATGTTCTTCTTTAAGCTGGTTATTCTAATTAGCATTTCATCTAACATTTTTTCAAGGTAAAAGTTTCTTTGCATTGGGTTAGAACATGTTCGTTTAGC